AAAAAAAAAAAAAAAAAAAAAAAAAAAAAAAAAACACATCTTAGTAAAACCAATACCTTCTCAGCTTCGCATCGAAGCTAACATTAGTTTCGATGCATAATCGAACTATTAAACTATCGACAATGTCGGAGTTTTTACAGTCTTATTTTTTTTATTTAAATGTCTGAGTAAAATCTGTCGTGGTTATGGTAGCCTATGGTATGAGATGGTTGGAGTACCAGATGTTCGGAACAATTACTACTTTGTCAAATGTCGAAGTATGTAAATGTCAGAGAATTATCAATTCGTGGCAATGATGTTTGCCCAATAAATTATATATTGAAAATAATCAATCAAAATTACTAATTAGAAGAGGTCATTAATTTAAAAAAAATTATAGTTAATCTGTATTTTCTGAACATATTAGGGTTTAATAATCAGTTATTTTCTCAAAATAAGGCTCGAGTTAATAATAAAATTGACACGGTTAAGAAATGTCTAATAAGAAACCTAGATCGTAACTCACCCATAGGAGAATTTATGCCTCTTAAGCCAACTGGTGCATGTTATAATTTAAAACACTTAAATTGATGTAACTTTAAGATCCAAGAAAAGGGGAAACAATAGAATAATTTTTTTTTGAAATTTATAGTCGGGAAATTTTTCATAAAAAATATTTTTTGTATAAAACTATTTTATTCTATTTCTAACTTTTGATAATATTTTAGGAGACTATGTTAAGTAATTACTTGTCAAATATGTATGTAATTTTTTAAAGCTTTATTAATCTATTAAAACTCATTACTGTATACTCCAAGATTCTTCACCATCAACATATAATTTTATAATTTATAACAAGAGATAAAAGTATGCCAATAAAACATACCATAATAATTGCTTACCTTACAAATTGAGTTTCAAGCCCAGTGCAATATTTACTGAACTGGAAACTTAAATGCTGATAGAACCACACCATACTTTTAGAAACAGTGTGCTTTGCACAACTTTTATCTTCGATGCGAAGCTGAGAAGGTATTGGTTTTACTATGATTTGTTTTTATATTTTTTTTTTACTTTTTGTGTCTATTACCACTTTTTCTCAACTCTCACTGGACCGATTTCTTTCAACTTTACGTCAAAAGATCATAAATTGTATTTAGTCGAAGACATAACCCTCAAAAATTTTCCTCGATCCCCGTAAATGGAGAATACCTCCAAAAAAATTACAAATTTAAAAATCGACATTTTTTTACTTAAAACTACCATAACTTTTTCAAAAATGAACTAATCAGTATAATTTTTTTTTATAGATGTTTGATGTTTTCACCTATCATTTGGTATATTTTTTTTTTATAAATCTGACCCTTTACCTGCCTACAGAGGGCGATTTAAAACGATAACTTTTTCACAAAAAATCAACATTTTCAAGTTAACTTTTGAAAGTGTTCCGGAAATACTGACACTTTTATGTATATCTAAAATTAAAGCTTATGTAATATACTTTATTATGGAAAAAAAAAATTTTGGACTTCATTTGTCTTCACTGTAAAAATGGCTACAAAATGCTATTTTTGTATGAAAATTCTCGATTTTATATTTCTAACTTTATAATGCTGTAATTTATTGAAAAGTGTATGGATCAACACAATTTTTTTATGAGCAATAATATTTATATCCCTTTTTCATTCGACATACTTTATCTTAATCAGGATATAAATAAGGAAATAGCAGATCATGTAGCTTTTGGAATAATACACCAATTTTTTAAAATTAAACACTATCTAAAGATTTGCATCGAAGCGTTTTTTTTTTATAGTGATTTTAATCACTGTTAAATATCACTATACTTGATTCAACTATGCCACGTCACCACTGTGCCGCAACCCCCCTGTGCTGGTTATTTTTTTGTGACAATAAATGAAAGCTCATTTCGAGTATTGATTTTTTATTTACTTAACCAAACATCCCTATACAGTACTAATATTTATCCATAGAATAAATACAAATTAAACTGGTATACAAAATTCAGGCTAAATAATTTTTTTTTAACCTTTATAACATATTTTAACAAAAAATATGTAAAAATACTGTATTACTAGAATTCTTTACTTCACCCTACTATTGATACAGTATCAAAGTAAAAATTATTATTTTGGATTATTTATTTATAAAATAGGTTACAAAAATATATAATAAAAACTTTCAACTATGAATATATAAAATAGATAAATAAAATAAAATATAAACATTAAATTATGAATTTTCAAGAAATTTAAGTATATGTATTAACATCCTTTATCACTGCACCCAAACTTTTCATTCCAAGAAACATAATGGTTTAAATCTTCTGAAGATACACTAGGAAGCACAGATTTCAATGCAGACAAAAAATCACTTAGATTAATTGGGCGAACCTAATATATAAATACACTTATATAATAATTATAATATACAACTCATAATATTTAATAATAATAGCAGCATACTTGATCCGCTTGAATATTACTAATCATTTCAAAACTTATAGATCGAATAGGTCCCAAAGATGCCTCTTGACATAAACTTTTCATATCAGCACCTGAATAACCATCACTCATAGAAGCTATTTTATCTAAATCTTCTTCAGTTAAAACATGATTTTCTGAACTAACCAGCTTTTTAATCATTTCTTTTCTGGCCTATTGGCAATAATAATATTATAATAGTAATTCAAATGAATAATTTCAGTTATTACTTGAAGATCTGGTAATCTAATATATAGTCTTTTCACTAATCGTCTTCTAGCTGCTTCATCAAGTTCCTGAGGTCTGTTAGTAGCACCTATAATTAATATTCTATCATCATCACTTGTACCTGCTCCATCCTTTAAAACAACAACAAATTACAAGTTAAAAGGTTCCGTTTGTTTTTTTAATAAACATGTTACAAACCAATTGAACAAGAAACTCAGTTTTTATTTTCCTAGAACTTTCATGTTCTTGTTCACTTCTTTGACATAATAAAGAATCAATTTCATCAATAAAAATTACAGCTGGTTGATGACATCTATAATACATAAAAATGTTATTAAATATTAGTTTAATATTAAAATGGGTTAAATAAATATATAAAAAAACAATCATTTAATTTAACAAATAATTTTAACAATGAAATATTTTATCAAGATATTAATAATATTGTTTTATATTTAAAAAACTTTAAAATTCATAAAAATAGAAAATAAATTCATAAATTACAATGAATATTTTCACATAATTTATTTAATATTAATTACCTAGCAACGGCAAACAAAGCCCTTACAGATTTTTCACCTTCTCCAATCCACTTAGAAGTTATAGTTGAGGCACTTATACTAAAAAATGTTGAATTAGATTGTGATGCAATACATTTACCTGTAATTATTAAAATAAATAGACAAGTGAATAGTTCATATAGCTGAAATATACAAATTTTCTTATCCATACAAAAGAATGTCTTTGAAAAAATTCTAGTTCTACATTCATAATTATATTAATAAGCTAGACGAGCAATTTAACTTAAATAATTTTCAACTAAATCCAACTAAAAGACATATCCATGTTAAAATAGTTAAAACATATAAAATATATTATAAAAAGTTTATAATTAATACCAATTAATGTTTTTCCAGTTCCAGGAGGACCAAATAACAAAATACCTTTAGGGGGTCTTCGAATACCTTTAAAAATATCTGGTCTTAACAATGGCCAAATAACAGACTCCTAATATATAAATAAATAAATTAAAAATATATAAAAGTGTTTAATCATTAATTTTATTTATACTTGAATGGTACTTTTAGCAAACTGTAAACCAGATATATCATTCCAAGTAATTGGATTTTTACATTCAATTATTTCGTTTCTAATCATTTCAACCATTTTAGGATCAATATTTTTTAAATAAGGATTATCTTCAACATTATCATTAGACAATGATTCATTAAATTTTTCTTCTTTGGCTTGATTACTATATATATATTTCATAATTAAATAGTAATAATTAAAGATAACACATAATTTTTAAAAGATAATATGTATATAATTACTTTTGTTGGTTGTCAGCCAGTGGATTAACAAATTTGCTAACAACACTGCGAGATTTATTGACACCAAGCGATTTTTTTATTAATGTATCTGATGAACTAGATATGTGATTATTTTGTTTTTTAACTTGTATATGCTACAAAATTATATTACAAAACATCATTAGATACATTTATAAAATTAGTAAAAATAATTGTCTATATACATATATTATTTACTAATTCAGTTTTTGCAGTGTGAAAGCCAAATTGCGATTGATTGTTATTAACTGCTGGAGATTCTTTTTCCCTTTTAGTTTTATGATCAGGTGGTGAATTTAAAGGAGAGTTATCATCATATTTACTGTAAAAATAATAAATTTCTAACTCTAATATTTACACGTATGTAGAAGGCTAAGGTGAATAATTTTCCCTAAGAGTAATTTTAGGAATGGGATGAAGAATAACATATCAAAGCATAGGTCCTATTAATAGCTTGTATAAAAAATATTGAAAGTGTATTTTTATTTTTTTTTAAGACATTTAAAAATTGTATAATTTATTATTTATTAAGAATTTTACTTTTTAATGTAAAATGATTGAATTGCTAATTTTAAAAAAGGGATAAATTATTATTACATCATTCCATAATTTATTACAAAAATAAGTCAAATCTGACTACCAGAAATTTTATATATTGTTTGAAGATTATAATTTACTATTGAAGTATATATATTAAAGACAGTTTTTAATCAATCATGAAAAATTAGCAAGATCTCTATTAGAGTTAACAATTTCATTTCTCACTATATACAACATATTATTTAGGTGCAATACAAATTAAAATTATTTTTATACAAAATTTATTGACCAATTTTTTTAAGTAAGACATTATAATGATAATTATGATTATACAGCATGTTCAAAAAATAAAGAAACAGGTTAATTATTACAAACAATGAGAACAATGGAAACCTGTTCCTTACTTACTGAACACTCAGTATAATTATAGCATAACATATAATTACATAAAAACTGTAATTTACCTTCTTTTTCTACTATTTAAATGTTGTGTTGTAAAATGAGACATTTTTACTGATTTATCATTAGTTTTCTCATTTAGCGAGTTACTTTGAGGATAATTATTGACTTTTTGGTTACTTGAAATTACTATGAAAATATATCACAATAAAGAACAAGTAAAGTTTAATTTTAACTTTTTAATTTTTAACTAAATGAGTACCTGGTTTTTGCACTTCTTTAAAATTATTTTGAAGATCATTTTTATTTAAATATTGTGAAATTTCACAAGTTCTAGTACAATCAATAACAAAATCTGTATTATCCTCAGTTTTACATGTTTTTGGGTTTGGGCATCCAATTGACTTTTTAAATATATTAACTGCATTATTTACATCAAAGTTACTGCTCAATTTCCACAATTTTGCTTCTAAATGAAAATTAAAAAAATACAAATTAGAAGCATAATAACTATTATATCATTTTCTGTTGTTATTCTTTAAAGCTATTATTTCAACTTCATAGAAGGAATTGATTTGTCTTTAAAAAAATTATCTATCTATTTATTTATTATATAATTTTATACAACCATAAAAAAATTGCATTAAAAAAAAATATATTTATTTTAAAACTGGTGTCACTTTTTTTTTTAATTCTAATACAAATGAAGTTTTAATAAAGTATACTAGAGATGATAAGCTTTATTTTAGTATGCTTTTTCTGAAAATCCTAGGTACAGTAATGGTTTGAAAAAGCATGTCACACATGTCATTTTTTTTTTTTAATTCAATTTTTGAAAATGTTTAACAATATTGGAGAACTTCTAAGCCATATCCAATTAAAGCTTTTGTATTGTAATATACTAAAAAAAAATTCTTTCTCAATAAATCTTTTATTATGTTAAATTGGTCATCAAAACAAAAAATATATAACATTTTCAATTTTGCAAATAATTTAACAAGCATTATAGAAAATTTTTAAATCATAGAAATTGTAAAATTAAATTAACATTAAAATAATATACAATTTATGAAATTTATCAGGTTTCATTCAAAGAGTTTTTTTATAACAGTGATTTTAATAATTGTCAGATATTAATCAATAATAATCTAAAAAAATGCCTTAACTAAAATTATCTTTATATAATTTAAATTTTAAGTAAAATTATTTGATTGTCATCATTTTCATCACAATCAAAATCTGATTTGCAAGATTACAGAAAAAAATATATTTCAAATTTATATATATACGTAAGAAATTTAAAAATAGTTTATAAATTTCAAGTAAAATTATAAACTCACTGTTAGATCCAAATGTTAATTCCTCTACAGCATTCATAAAATTATTAATACCTTTATTATGATCAACTAAATTAGAATATGATTTTAATTCACATTTCATATGACTCCATAGCCAGCTTGATTCTTCCCTAATTAATTAAAAAAAGATTTGAAAAATCATTTATATATAGCTATGCACAATGAATAAGGCAGTAACTCGACAAATTTAACTATGAAATTATGAGGTATTTGGATTTAGGTTTCACTCTTTATATAATATCATTTATCAAAATATGGAAAATTTGGTTTAAATCTGGATTAAACTATTTACAAAATTAATAAATATATAGGGCATAATCAGAGTAAATTTTATTTTAGATCTAAAAAGTAAGAAAAAGTGACTGACTTATTTGTTGTACGTAGTTATAATATATTTATACAATTATAATTAAGGCATTTAATTTAAAAATTGTTTACTGTAATATCTTTCATAATAGTCTAACGCATTTTATAATGCGCGAAGATTAAAAATATTATAATTTACACATATTTTACTTGCGCCTGTTATTAAGAATAAAATTATATAAAAAAATAAATAATAAATTTTATTACAAGCAATTTGCAAGCATAAATGATTGGTATAAGCATTTTCTTTTGGAACTCGCAGTTTTCAAATCATCATTTAAATCTTCTTCAAATTTATTGTATAAATAAAAGTTTTTAAAATTTTTAGTTATTTCTTCTACATTTTCCATGTTACTAATTAATATTCAAAACTTATGTGTTTTCATGTAACTTCAAGTATATAATTAAGAAACAATGTATGCTACTCTTATAATACAAATTATGTAAAAATCGTGTTATCTACTTATACCTGCAATGAAATTTGAATTTTCCAGTTATTACTTATATCACAATACTTTACTATTTTTATACTACCAATTTAAACCATTTAGTTGAAAAATGAATATAAGCAACACTGAAATTTAAAATAGTTGGCAGCTCCAGATACCTAATCAGTGTAGCCAATCGACCGGTAAAATACGTGGGTTTATTGTATTACCATCCATTGTTCTCAACTGATTGTTCTTCTCTAATATGCGCACGATGTTCTGTAATGCGTGTTTTTAGCTATTAGATTGTTTCATTGTGATTTTTACTGTGAAAGAATTTCTCTTGATATTGTTGGATTACAAAATCATCCTCGTAGGATTGTTTGAAACTTTAATAACAAACAATATTTGAAAAGTTTATACATTTTTTAATAATATATTACTCTTCTGGAATAGATCGTCTAAGATCGCCAAAGTTACAATCGAGGATTGTTAAGCTACTACTGCCAAGTGTACGACGCCCATCAAACTGACACACTGAAACAAGAAGAATCCGAGTATCATCAATTGTGTCTCGTATCATCGTCACCACTTCTAAAATGGTCGACAGTTGTTACGTTTCGCCGAATGACAACTTTATTTGTGGTGTTGTTGAAGGTATGATAAAATGTTTTGCACTAACTTAAGCTTTTTGCTTGATGCAAGTAATTTGTTCGTCCATAATTATTCATAGGTTTCGGAGGTCTACACCAAACGGATTTAATAAATATATCAGCTATCGTATTATAATTTTATAAAAATAAAATTATTCAAATAATTTTTTTTATTATCCTCAATTATTATCGATAAATTCATGCTTTAATTAACAACAATATAAATTTATTATTCTTTAAATTGTATTTCTTATTGTAGATATAAAAATGTATTTTATTTATTTAAACTTGACTATTCCCAAAAAAATAATACTAAAATTTAAACAGATTTACGTTTTCTAGTTATTTTTATTATTATTGTTTTTTTTTTAGTATATTTTTGTTTTTACTTTGATATTTAGGATTTTATGGAAGACCATGGACTACTGAACAACGAAAAGATTTATTTCAAAAGTGAGTAGTTTTCCAAGCTGTTTTGTTATAATTTGCTTTGCAAGCTAATTGTGTTTACCTTTATCTTATCTAGTATAAGTAGGTCTATCATAATTCCTTTTTTAGAATTATTTTTTATTAAGAAATACGTATTAAGATCATTTCTTATAAATAACATATTCCTCTTGGACAAAAAAATCACTAAACTAAAGTCTGTTCAATTATTAATTATATAATAATTTTTTATTGTATTAATTACACTTTATTATAATATAAACTATTAAAGAAGATTCTTGAACATTTTTAATTTGAAGTAATTAAATAATCTATTTTTTCACCATAATGGCTGTAGTTAATATGAATAGTTTAATGAATGGAAAAGATTCTAGATGGCTACAACTTGAAGTATGCCGTGAATTTCAACGTAACAAGTGTTCTCGTAGTGATACTGAATGTAAATTTGCACATCCAGCAGCTAATGTAGATGTGCAGAATGGAAAAGTTACAGCCTGCTATGATAGTATCAAAGGAAGATGTAACCGAACCAAACCTCCTTGTAAATACTTCCATCCTCCTCAACATTTAAAAGATCAACTTTTAATAAATGGTCGAAATCACCTTGCTCTTAAAAATGCTTTGGTACAACAAATGGGACTAGTAGCCAACCAACCAATAGTTCCTGGACAAGTTACTACTCCTTTACCAAATCCAGCTTATTTAGCTCAGTTACCTAGTGCTCAACTTGGTAGTACTTTCAATCCTTATTTTAACCATTCTAACCCTCTGGTTAATCCATTGACTCAATTTTTTGCTCCCAATCCAAATAATTTAACGATGGCTGCAGCTATGCAACAGACTGTTTTACCTCAAAATTTACAAGCCCCTGAACGTTTAGACATGGATTTTAGTAAATTATCACCCTTTTACTTTGAAAATTTAACTCTGCCTGGATTAATGTCATTCAAAAGACCATCTGTTGATAAAGCAGGATTACCAATGTTTCAACCCAGTGCAGCTGCTGCATATCAGCAATTATTCCAATTTGTTCCGCCTCAAACTGAGTATCCACCTACTTCAACAGCTACTACATTATCAGCTCTACCTAAAACACAACCTCAAACTGTAGCTCAACCACAACCTCAACAGCAAACTCAACCATCTATTGCTCCTCAAAAATCACAAACTCCTGAACTTCCAACGACTACCCAAGCTCAATTGCAATCACAACAATTGGCTGCTTTTCATCAGTTATTAGCCATGTCCCCTCAGCAGCAGCAACAACTTCAACAACAGCAATCTCTACAGCAACAGCAACAAGTTCAGTTGGCTCAAGCCCAAAGTCAGGCTCAAGCTCATTTAGCTCAATCCCAGGCTCAAGTGCAAAGTCAAATGCAAGATCCTGCTCAGCAAGCACATATGCAACAACAAGCATTCGCAGCAGTTTTTAATCAGTTAATAGCTATGCGTCCTCCTCCTCCTCCATTGGCAACATTTCAAGCTCCACAATTAGCACCAAACCCAAATTTGATGACATCACCATCTATGAAACAATTTATAGCTGCACAAATACAACATCACATACATAATAGCAATATTAATGGAAATATAAATGCTGCTGCTTTAAATGGAAATATTAACAGTAAAAATGATGATGAAGTACAACAACCTTTTAAAAAAATGAAAACTGCTTGACAGTTTTGGGTTTATAGTTTCTCTAGAGATGGTGTACATTATCAATTTTTGCTTTTTATTTGTTTAATATCCATTAATTTTTAACTATTGTTCCAGATCATAATAATCACTTTATTTTTGTGTAGTAGTTTTTATGAAACTAATTTTTAATTTATTTTTAACGACAGTCTTCACAATTTTGAATTATTTATAATAATCTTCTTTGAGCCATTTTATAGACTATGTGTTTTTAACAATTATTTTTGCATTATATAATAACATTTAAGTTGTATTGCATATAAAATTATTAATCAAGCTTTAGTCAGTTATTATTATTTTATATCATCAATATTATTGTTTATCAGTTTGATATATTATTGTAATTCATTATTATTTATCTATTGTATCATATAGTTCCTTCGCAAGTGCTTATTAGTCTTTGTAATTATTACTTATGACTACTATTTCTGCATCGACATAGTTTAGTGATTTGAGTCCATTATTATTTTTCTCGCATTTGCTATCAAGGCAAATTTAATTTTATATAATTAAATGGTTTTATGAAAAGCTTATTATGTAAACTTAAAAAATACTATTTTTGAAGATTTGTAGAACATTGATGTTCTAGTTATTTTTTTACCAATGTTTTAAAAATATATTTGTTAACAGTCTATTTTTAAAATTAAAGTAACTTTAAGAATGTTTTAATGTCTTACAAGCTGTTATATAGAATTTATAAATTTGTAATTTAAGATCATTTTTTAATTGTGATAACAGGTATTGCCTACATCAATGTAATTTATATTTAAACTCAACTACCTCTTTTTTATAATTTAAATGATTGTCATTCCAAAATTTAATCCTTAATGTAATCTATAGCAATTACAATGTTTCTAATATTTTTCATACTTATTGTGCATGTGCAATAAAAAAAAACACTGCTCAGCCAATATAATGCCCACCAAGCTTCCTTTTTTCATGAAAACCTTGTGTTTTTTTTTATTATTATTTAAACATACTAACTATACTGTAATATGAACACTGAAAATTTGTGGGATTGGAGTTCAGCTTGTGTGGAAATACTTTAGTTAAAATAGAACTTACTGTTAAATAATAAGACTACAAAGCTTACACTAGCCATTATTCATCTTGGTTATTGGCAATTTACAAAGATATAAATAATTTTATCTAGGCCTATATGTATGTTGCAATTACTTATGGTAGATTTAAGGCTATTTTTCTATAGTTAAATGCTTTAAAAACATATTGTGAATAAAGTAGCTTGTACTTAATAAAGGTGGCATACCTAAGCTAGACTTATTTTTTATTTATTTTTATCATCGTGTGTACCTACCCTTGCACTGGCTTCAACTATCTGTTTTTAGCAAAACTCATACATGAACAACATATTATAGCTTATTTTAATGGTTGTCTACATAACAAGGGTTGAAGTGTCAATGTTTTGCTACGAGCAGCCTACAACTACCATTATCATTTGTAATGCCTGTCATCAACGTTTGTTTTAAGCAGACAACCTCTTATTAAATATACAAGGTTTATGTAAATTAAACGGTTTCATAGTTTGCTCACTTATACAGCACTTGAGCCACATTTTGCAGCGTATTTTAAAAAAATACTACTAAACATAGTCTTGCTATTTAGTGGTAAGTTAATTTAGTTATATTTCTTTGATTTTGTCAAAATTCAATTATTAATAAGGTTCGATAACAAAGTTTATAGTTATGGTATAGTATGAATACTAATACTTCAATTTTTTATGTGATCGTTATGCCTCATTTTTCTCAAACTTCTCATAACTTATATTTCAGTTTTGCTTTTATTTTAGATATAATAGTTTTGATCATATAATTAAATTAAAAATGAATAAAAGTATTTAATGCAAATATTTTGTATCCTGTAACATATGTATTAACAAGTCAATACTTGTATTATAATTATCTCCTTTTTAATGAATTAATTTAAAAATTAAATTAATGTATTCATTTATTTAAAATATTTTACATTAATTGAAGATAAAGATTATTTGAAATATGACTGAAACAAATTAATAATTTTTTCCATTTCTGCTGTTATACAGTATTCTGATAGAACATGTATTTATTTCATATTTTTTACCACTGCTTTATATAATAATAAAGAGCAGTATATTAATGTGTTATCTATTAGAAAGTTTATATTTTCTTAAATTATTTAATAGAAACTTTTACATGTAACAATCAATATTTTCCCTTCTAAAATAAAATGAAATTTCAATTTTGAATGTATGAAATATTTTTATTTATTTTCTTAATTTAATATATTATATATAATGCTTTTATGTTAGGGCTCTTTAGGCATGGCTATTATTGAACACTATTACTGATTATGGTTATTGAAGTTAAATTGAATTGAATTTTTGCATAAACTATAAAACGCCAAAATTAGTTTATATAAACATGGTAGTTGTATTTAATATTAGCAAGATATTTTTTAAAAATTATTTGTCCTATGACCTGAGTTTTTATATCAAACTTGCTAGTGTTATCATTTCTACTAAAATATTAATGTAGGAATAAAAATCTTCAGTAGCATGTAAAATAAAATTATTTTAGTAAAATTAATACACATAATTTACCCTTAAACTTAAACAGTTTTGCACATATCTAACAGCTATTTAAAAAAAATTAATTTAATTAAACTGCATGGTAAATTAATTTATGTAAAATTATAGCAATTATTTCTTTATTAATTAATATGCCGAAATATTTAGTAAATTGTGTTACATAATATACAACAATCAATATAATTTTAAATTTCTACTTTACAATGAAGATAATTCATTTTTTTACAAATGTCATTTTTTAGTAAAAAAACGGTTTTTTTTTATCAAGAATTTGCCTAACATATTCAATTTAAAATTATGACTAGATATAATCAGATGATAAAATTATTTAAAAGTTAAATTTGCTATAAAATTTATTAACTTCAATTAAATATACAGTCAGTTTGGATCTTGAAAGTAATTTAAGAAAAATCTGACTACCAACTATTGAATCTTCCAATAGGTTATTATTTGAATAAAATGTCATGGAATATTCATATAGAAACATTCCTATAAATAAATGAATAGCTTAATGAATTAATACTTCATCAAAATTAATTAACATTGCCAATTTATAATTACTATTTTTTCAAATAACGTGCACCTGATATTTAAAGATGAACACAAGAGTGAATTAATCTATAGAAAAAAATTAAATGATTGCATTGATAATATTAGTATATTCAACACATTGATTTAATATTATAATATTTTCTTTTGGGTACTTACCGTGTATAATTTTTGTTTCTTACACATTCTGTAGGAAATTAAATATTTATATTTCGTGTTAAGAAACAATATTTGTTAGAACCACAAAATACAAACTTGTACAGTAAGCAAATTCTAGGATTCAACGCATGGTAAATCTAGAAAACGTTTTTGTGTTGTTTTACTCTTTATTTTGAGTTTACATATATTCTTTTATTGAATTGTTATAAAATAGTAATAAAAAAGTTTAAGTGAACCTTAAACTTACTCAATATTTTTATTGAAGACTAAGAAGACTATAATTAATATTCGGATAATTGTATAAAACCTCAAATGAAGTTCAATACCGCAATTAATTTTGGAAAGGTACATGGTTAATTAAATTGATACAGTTTCATGTGTATATTTATATATATATATATATATACATGTAGAGTATACTAAAATAAATATTTCCGAGGGACTCGTGTCCCTAATATAACCATCCATAAGCTACGCCAATGATCATTTAACGATTAATTTACTTATATTTTTCCATATTGAAATTTTACAAATAAAAATATGCTGGCATGTGATAATGCAAAGAACTGTCTTGAAGTTTATATTATCGTATGTAATAAACAAATGATTCAATTTTTTCTTTTATAAGATAATAAGCATGTCTCAAAATAAACGTAAACACTATTAATAATTGAACTAAGTATTATTAAAATTATTATACTTCCTATATAATTTTTTTTTACTAAAAACATAAGTATGTATTATATAGAAACCTATGCTATTTTGAAATGTGAATGGAATCAATTATTCTAACCTATCACGTCACTCGCATTTGCCTTTATTTTACCTCAAACGAATCCTGTGCACCAACTTCAGCCTGAACCCCTGTGATGTTATGTCATTACTTAATAGTTATTAATATATTGTACGCTATGGTGATTGTCATTTACCGGTTACTATGCTGTTTTTGGTCGCTAACGGTGGATTAAATATATTTACGATACGTTTGTAAATAATGCCTCGCATTTACGAACGCTAATTCTGTGCATTTTTTTACGTAATTTTGTGAAAATTGCAATAAAAGTGTTTTTATAGTGAAAATAAGTTGTAAAAGAGTGTTGCAAACAGTCAGCTATTTTATAATTTTCACATCATTTTTAATAGTAGATTTATGCTGTGCTTAGTTTATAATTTTAGTTTTTCTACTATTATATCATTTCTTTTTCATCACCTAAAATAACAGTAGCAGAAAAATAACTGGTGCAGATACAAAATAAACAAATTTCGGTTGTATTCATTTTATTAATTATGCTTAAATATTATGCTGTGTTCAAAAGCTTATTATTTAAATTTCAAAAAGTTTCAAGCTTATTTATTAGAAAAATATATTCAAATTTTAAGAGAGAATTTTACAATTGAATTTTTAGGTTAAAAAAATGGGGAGTTAGTTGTTATGTTTATGCACCCAAAGATGATTATAAACACAGAGCATACTGGCGAGATTTATATACCGTTGAAGAAGCAGAACAACTTGGTGGTTTAATAACTGCTGCTAGAGACTGTGGGGTAACACTTTATTATGCACTGTCTCCTGGTCTTGATATGACTTATAGTAATCAAAAAGAAGTTTCTATTCTCAAAAGAAAGCTAGATCAAGTAGCACAATGTGGCTGCAAAGCTTTTGCTTTATTATTTGATGATATTGAACCAGATATGTCACCAGCAGACAAAGAAGTATTCCAATCATTTGCTCATGCTCAGGTAATTTGGTATTCATATTGTAAATTGTCAAAATTACTCACTTGCAATGGTGTATTCTAAGAAAGCTAAAATAATTAAGGCTCCCATTGAAAATCTGGGATACCCCACTGCTTATTTTGGTAGAAGCTCAATTGTCTTCTATTTAACATTTAATTTAAAAATAAATTAATGTATAAGTATTTATTAGCGTTTTTAAAATAAAATATTAGTATAACTAATTATTTCTACTTTTTTAAGCTAATTAAAATAAGCATCTTAGAATTTCTGAGATCCACAAATAATTAGGTCTTGATTGGTTCTAAAATCTAAATCAAATCAATTATAAGTATATTGTTTTAAGCTTATGTGACCCGAGTGGGATGACTTCAGTATATAATAAATATGAAAAATAACTTTCATAAACCTAAAAACTGGTTGCAAGACCAGTATAATTATTAAGATAACAATACATCCAATTATGAACGTCTAAAAGTTTGGAAAATTATTAATTTATATTTATTTTGAATAAAAAATAAACTCAAAGATTTTTCTTTAGTGTGCACGTGTTAAAGTTCAATATTTTTATGCCAAGTTGTATAGATTTTCCCAATAACTTAAATATTAATTATGATAATACTAATTATAACAACAATGTAACTCTGATGTTTAGAAAGACGCTACACCTGAAATTGTGACCTTCTATTTTATAAACAAATTAGTATTTTCAAATTTGATTATTCTTAACTGTGATAGCTTATAAATTATTATTTGTATTAATTGTTATTGGTTGTATATGATTACAAGTGATTATAAGTCTTATTAATAACTATAAAAGTATTTATTGTACAAAATATAGGGAAAATGAAATTTAATTACTTTGAAACTACCAGGGACAATACCAAATAATTTAGATAATATACAGAGTGAGTCACAAAGATATATCAAACGCTAATTTTGTTTCAAACATTTTTTGCATTAATAGTCTAAGTTTAAAGCATATCTTTTATTATTTGTCTAATAAGAACAAGAATATAAATGTTTAACTTTTTTTCGAAATTTCAAATTAAAAATGTGTTATCATTATGACTCACCTTGTATAGCTCAACCAAAAATGTTAGTAGTTAAGATGGATTGTGTCTAAAATTACATTTGGCAACATTCTCAAACTTCTAAATTTAAAGGAGTGACTAAAATATCCAATAATTTGATTATTCAAACCAATATTATTGAGATAACTAATTTCATATATTTTCCAATTATAAACCA